ATTTAAACATGACCGTCAAATACAAAGTGCTTAATAATCTACGATTACCACCCGTTATGTGACAATTTTAGTCAATGGTGGTTAGTCAACAGTTAAACTGGTCACGTCTGGTAAGTATGGTTGACGCTTTATAATGCTCGAATCAGTGGCCCATCAAATGCTCAAAATGCCTCTTAGCAAAACCTGATATATCTTCACAATTTCTTTAAATTGGGGATGATAAATTTCAGCTTCATATCAGATGATTTCCACATTTTTTTGGTTCCAGGCACGCAGTGCAATCTACCCGGTGGCTGTCAGCTAAAGCCTAATTATTCCTGAGACGCCCAGCGATGTGGCAGTGGAGGGAGACCTCCAAGCCGCGTCGCCTGCTGAGGCAGTCCTGGTTGCATTCTGCCTCTACTTCATTTTTAACTACGACTACCACCACCAGCTCAGGTGCAGATTCATTGCACTAGAGTACTTAATTGATCTGAAACACTCAAATGTCGAGTCGCGTGCAACACATTGCTTTCAAACCTAAACAAAAATCCAAGAAAGTATTTTCTTTTTTCAATACCTTTTTATGCAGGTTTAGGAATTTTTTATGTCGTTTGTTTAATGCTTTTTTTGTCTGACATGAGGCAGGATGGTTGATTCTGAGAGTTACAGACGGTCAATGATACTGCTTTATAGTTACATTTTTGTAATTTCGAAAATCACCGCTTTTCACTTTGTGCAGCAATGCCATACTTAATTTATTTCAGTCTACTTCATACTCGGTGCCTGAAAGCATTCGAGGTTTGTGGTTCCATGTTCACAGTGATTCGTGCTTGCAAAGATTAAACACAACATTGTTTTTGATGGCTTGCAGGGTTTAAATACAAGGTGGTCAAAACCGATTTTTGCGATTCATTTGAAGTGGGTTAGATCCCTTTGGCCCTGGCGGTAGTTTGTTGCGGCTCATTAGCGGCAGGAGATACGAGCCCTTTCTGCTTTCCACATTACAGGAGCAAATCCCGGAGTCTGCTTTCCTCTACTCCAGCTTTCATTCCACCACTGCGGATAGGACGGGCATAGTGTACTGCTGTCCTTGAGTCGCAACGCACTAGTCATTGCTAGTCGTGTCTTGGTTTGTATTGATGTTTGCAATATCTGAGACAGAATCTATGTTATATCACAGGGCGTTCATTTTGATTTTGGTTTGTGCAAGACTCAGTCATTTGCGTTCAACCCGGTGAAGCTTCGCTATTCCAAGCAGTGTTCCAAGCATTCACTGTTATTTTTCGGTGTTACGTTGCGATGTTATCGCTTATCGCTGTCGCGGCCGCAGCAGAACTGCTGAGTCAGGGCGGCGTACCTCTGGTGCTTGCTGCCGATATAAGCGACATCGCCGGCAAGCTTTGCGCTGGATCGACGGCTCGCTTCGAGCGGGTTACGAAGTTCGGGCGGTCTTTTCTTTCCGTTTTGCAGAAGAGTTTTCGTGTACAGTGTTGCGTCGTCAAGCGTCGTCAAGCGCATCACCGGGGCGGTTTTTCTTCGTACCGGAGCTAGCAGATTGTCTGACGACGGACAATCCCTGCACCACTGAGCGGCGGGACCGGCTGACAAGCATGGCGGCCACTTCGGGGGGCGCCCGTTCAAGCCCCAGCCCCATGAATGAGGACCAAGGCCCACCGGCTACACCAGGTCGGCTATATCGGAAAAGGGACCGCGACTTGAGCCCCACTTCGGCATCGAATGCGTCAGTAGCATCCTTTTCCTCCGAGGCTGAGTCTGCACTGGAAGACGGGACGAACGTACATGCCAGCAACAAGGGCGAAGGGGACGACGGCTTCACCCTCGTAGGTCCGAAGAAAAGTCGACGGGGCTCGACCAACAGCGGCGACACAGTAGTCTCCAAGGAATCGCGACTGGCTGCCAGGAACACTGAAGCCCGGCTCACAGTACTGTTCTGGCCTACAGAGAAAGCAAACGTCCGGAACCTCAACAGGGTAGAACTAAACGCTCACTTCGACGTCATCGCTCCTCGCCAAGTGAAGGAGATACGGGTCAACGGCCGAAAGAACGTGATAGCGGTCGACGTTCACATGAAAGAGGCTGTGCCTAAACTTCTACTCGTCAGGAAGCTCGGCGGCATACCGGTTGAGGCCCGCGTACCATGGACGACACATCATATCGCAGGAGGTGTTCGAGACGTAGATCAAGGCTTGTCTGAGGAAGACATCTACAACAGCATGCGGGCCCCAGTTAACATCCTCGGCGTGCGGCGCCTGGGGAGGTCGACGACTGTCAGGGTCACCTTCGAAGGCAAGGACCTTCCGCAATATGTCCACATGGGATACGTGCGTCACCCGGTTGCACTCTTCGTGGCTCGTCCTCTGCAGTGTTTCCGGTGCAATAGGATGGGCCACATCACCGCGGTCTGTGAGAGAGAACGAACGTGCGCGAAATGTACAGGAAATCACGAAACATCGACGTGCGAAAGCGAGACCGTTCGATGCGTCAACTGTCGACGGGACCACGCCGCCACTTCGTCGGAGTGTCCAGTCCTGAGGAAAGAGAGGAAAGTGTGCAAGCAGCGCGCCAGGTCGGCCTCCACCCACGCGGAAGCAAGAGCAGCGGTACGAAAGCAAAACACGGACAAGGTAGCCAGCCGGCGTGGCGCACATCCTACAGCAACCTCAGGAGCTGCGAGTGCAAAGGGACGGGCAAGACTGCCAGAAGACGATTTCCCGCCGCTAGTAGCGCGACAATCTGGGGCGAAGCAGATGGCGGGGCACAAAGACGCAACCCGCTCTGAACCAACGGAAAGTAACCGAGCACGCGAACCAGAAGGCACTGCGCAGGTGGAGAGGCGCCGGTCTTTTGCCCATGTGGCACGAGATGGACGCCACAAGACCCAATCGACGGGAGAGGCTACAGACGCCGCCCTACTAAGAATGGTTTCACGGCTCTTCAGGGTGGTGCGACAACTGGCACAAGCACGACGCCACACACCAGAAGCGAAATTCGCACTCGAGGTACTAGATGCTGTCGGGGAGAGTCTCGAAGGAATCATCACACAGAATGCTTAAGCCGGGTATCGTGAGTCCACAGAAGCAAGATAACTCGACAAGCACCCCAACTTTGAAGGAAGGGCGACAGCCGAGCCATAGGACGGGGGGACGGGACGTCCCAACCGTGCTACAGTGGAATTGCCGTGGACTTACGGCCAGACACAGCGAACTAACCCTGCATCTGCAACGCTACCCAAGCCCAGTGCTGGCACTCGTAGAAGCCGGCCTTCCGGGAAAGCGGACACTACCTGGGTACGTGAAGCTTACTACGCAATCCATCCCCAGTTTTCCCCATGGAAGTGCGGCGCTTTTTATACGGCAAGGAGTGCCCTACTTTCAAGTGGACACCAGTCAGTTGTGTACCCTGTCGGCGGAGTTTGTGGCCGCAAGAGTCAGCATCGGCAAAAAAACTTTCCATGTGCTCGTGGGTTACGTTCGGCCGGATGGCACGGAGTGGCCGACAGATGATCTTCTGACATGGTGCAAGAACATCGACGGGGACCTGCTTCTGTGTGGTGACCTCAATGCGCACAGTGAAGCATGGGGCAGTCGGAAAACGGACAAACGGGGGGACGCAGTCACGAAAATGCTGGAAGAGCTGCACTTGGTCGTGGCAAACGACGGAGGGCCCACCTTTTTCAGGCCTCCCAGCACCTATAGCGCCATCGATGTCACGGCGCATACACCAACACTCGAGCTGGCATGGGCAACTGCCCCGGACACCAGAGGGAGCGATCATTTCCCTATCCACATCACAGTCAAGGGGTGCCAGACGGCCAGGAAGGTTGTGCGGTCGTGCACAAACTGGGACGTTTTCCGTGCAGCTTTGAACACAAGCCGTGCAGACATTGCGACAGCCATCGTTCAGGCTCTGCAGGAGGCAACACACACGACGAGCATCTCTGAATGGCTGCCAAACCCCGACCTCACCTTCCTAAACCTGCAGGCGGCGCGAACAAGGGCCCAACGAAAGTATCGACGCACGAAGAACCCGGAGGACAAGACCCAATTTAACAGAGTGTCGGCAAAGTTACGAAGACACGCCAAGGCGCTGGTGAGAGCTCGATGGAAGCTGATGTGCAGGAACATCAACGCTCACTCATCGCTGCCCCAACTCTGGAGAGTCCTATAGGTGCAATGACTGGGAGCTGCAGAACATGGCATGCGCTGCAGGTGTTAGCACTTTCAGCCAACATAACAGAGCAGCTGGCAGCAGAAAGATTATGTGCTCTATACGCCCCTGCCGAAGCGCCAGAAAAACCGGGAACTCCAAATCTATCCCCGGGGCCCCTAGACGCACCCTTTACCGTCCAGGAACTTGAGAGTGCTCTCCGCAGATGCCGAAAAAAGAGTGCAGCGGGACCCGATGGAATCCCATACCAGGCACTCACGAACCTTCCGGATGACGCACAAGAAGCCCTCGTCGCCTGGTTCAACACCATATGGGACTCTGGCGATGTACCCGACGGGTGGAAACTGGCAACCGTAGTGCCCCTACTCAAGGCAGGAAAGCCCCCCGGCAAGGCGGAGTCCTACCGCCCGGTGTCGCTAACGTCATGCGTAAGCAAAGTGTTCGAGAGAATGGTGCAAGCACGCCTTCGCTGGTACCTGGATGCACACTGTCTCCTCCCCGAGTGTATGACTGGTTTCAGGAGAGGTCTGTCAGCCCAGGACAGTATATTGGACCTTACGAGTGACCTGGAAGATAACAAGAATAAGCGAAGAAACACGGTGGCAGTTTTCCTCGACGTGGAGCGGGCTTACGACGGCGTCCCGCTTGCCGCCATCCTCTGCAGACTGACCGAGGCGGGGATCACAGGCAAAATCCAAGCCTTCCTGGCGAACTTCCTGACGGGGCGAAAAATACAAGTTTGCTCTGGACGGACAGTATCGTCACCAAGGGTGCTCCACAGAGGGTTGCCTCAGGGAAGTGTGCTGAGTCCGGTGATCTTTAACATCGTGATGGCCCAGCTACCGTGCTCCATCCCACCAACGCCCCTGCCGGTGCATGTATCGCTGTACGCAGACGACGTATGTCTCTGGGTATCGGGCATTTACACCACGCAGATCCATCGGAGCATACAGGACGCCATCCACGCTGTGGACAAATTTCTGACCAATTCAGGGCTGAACCTCTCCAGAGATAAGACAGCCTGGATGTCCATACGGGGGAACGGACGCCACTTTCGCCCACCAGACATCAAGTTGGCAGGAGAAAGAATCACACGCGTAACAAGGCAGCGGTTCTTAGGAATCATCCTCACAGACAGACTGCGATGGGCACAAGCCGCGGAGGCGACCATCACAACCTGCAGGCCGGCCACGAATGCTGTCCGCCGCATGACTGGGGCCACATGGGGCTGTACAGAACGAACCATCCTGGCCGCCCAGACAGCGCTCGTCACGTCAAGGATACTGTACAGGCTGCCCTACATGTCCCCATCCACGACGGACCTGGAGAGGTTGGAACAACTGCACCGCCAGGGCCTTCGCACGGCGTTGGGGATCCCGAAGGCTGCCAAGAACACCCTGGTCCTCCAAGAAGCGGGGTTAGAGTCGCTCGAGAGGCAGTCTTGGGAACGAAGCCTCTTCCAACTGGCACGACTGTCGACAACCCACCCAGGTAGATGGTTCCTGCGTAGAATTCAGGGCCGGACGACAGCGTCATGGAGCAAGGTGGTGGAAGTTTTCTTTCGAGTCGCGGACCCCCTAACGATGCCACAGAGCGAGTCAAGGGCACCACCATGGGAAGTGCCGAAGATAACTAGTGAGGTGCGGATTAAGTACCTGCGCTCCAAACAAGACAGGCCACCCCTTGTCATCAAGGAAATAGTGGAGGCCCACCTCGAAGAACGTCACAGCGGAAAGCTGCAGATATACACTGACGGGTCGGTAAACCACTCACGAACCTCCAGCACGGCGGCTTATCACATACCGAAACTAAGTCTGGAGTGGAGTGGCAGACTCCACAAACCCACGTCGTCAACAACGGCCGAGCTGGTGGCCATGGAAAAAGCTCTCCTAGAGGCCGCCAAGTTACCGCACCTACCGATGGTCCTTCTCACGGACTCCCGGTGCGCCATCCAGAAGATAGCAAATGCCGAGACCGGAGACCCTGCAACGGCCGCTGCAAGGAAGGCCCTGGCTATCTTGGAAGCGCATGGCTCTTCAGTCTGTTTCCAATGGATCCCAGGGCACGTCGGCATCCAGGGAAATGAACGCGCGGATGACCTCGCCGCGGAAGCACATCAGTTTCCCCCCCAGGTCCCCACACCTGCACACCCGCAACAGGCAGCTCTCGATGTCCGCTGGCATCTCCTGCGGGAGAAGCCGGAGAAATCTTTACCCAAAGGCACCTTGACCGGTTTCTCCCGGGCAGCGGAGACACTGGTGCGACGACTACGGACAAATACGGCATACACAAACGAATTCCTTGCTAAAATGGGAAAACGGCAGAGCTCAAGCTGTCTTCAATGCAGGGCAGAAGAGACGATCCACCACATCCTCTGCGTCTGCCCGGCATACGAGACCCAACGGGAAGCGCTGCGTCAACGGGTTAAGGAGGGCACCCAGATGACAACAGACAGCTTGCTCTTTCCCGACGGGCCCAGACGAAAGTGCCGGAGGATTTTCAAGGCATTGTTGGCGTTCCTACGACACACAGAACTGACTGAGCGCCTGTAGCCAAAGTAGGCTCAGGCTCATGTATTTTTCTTAATGCATTACCCTCTTTTTTTTTTTTTTTTTTTTTTAGCTCTATTGGAGCTCGTCACCTGCCCAGGCCAGCACATCAGAGCTAGGCTAACCCAGGAGACGTTAAACCCAACAAACCACCACCGCCACCACCACCAAGCTTTGCGCTCTTTTGGTTCCGGCTGCCGAACAATAAACGCTGCCAAATAAACGTCGGTCTCCGGATTCGTCGATTCTCCCGGAGAAACGTAACAGCTGGTGGCAGCGGTGGGATGGATCGACGACGCCGGGTTCCATGGGTGCTGTCGGTGAGTGCCTGAGGCTTCCTTTCCGTTCACCGAGCAGCTTAAGTGTTTAAGGCAGCTAGTTGTGTGGTGTCGCCAAACGGTTGATACGGGCGCTGGGCAAAAGTAGCCAAACTTTTTTGGAAATTTCTGAACATGGATCCGATAAATCTCGCGGCGATTGTGAAGCCCGATTTAATGCTCTTAGCGGAAGAGCTGGGTGTTAAAGTGGTCAAGGCCATGAGAAAGCCCGAGATTATCAAGGCCAGTGAAGATTGTGGCGCGGGCGCCGACGAAATTTCCGAGTGTTGGAGCGAGGTGCAGAAGAGACGAAGGGAAGCGGAACTTCACGCGGCTCAAGAAGGGCTTCGCGTTGCTCGAGAAAAACTTGAGCTAGAAATGCTTCAACGTAACTTTGACGCTGGTGAGGCCATTGTGGTGGATAACAGCTCGAAAAAGTTTGACATGCGAGCCCTTTTGCAACCTTTTCGCGTCGGCGGAGACATGGGCCTCTATTTAGTAAATTTCGAACGGGTTTGCGCTAAGATGGGTCTTGTAGAGTCGAGCTGGCCTCAAAGGCTTTTGAGTTTACTGCCAGCGGAGGTGGCCGACGTTTTGGCCCGACTAGATCCTACAGCAGCCGATGACTACGCGTCCGTAAAGTCATGCCTGCTTAGGAAGTTCAGGTTGTCGCCTGAAGCTTTTCGACAGAAATTTCGAGAGACAAGGAAAGGACCGGACGAAAGTTACGCGGAGTGGTGGAGTATGTGCTTTCCTTACTAAACCGTCTCCACAAAACGCGTGAGCTAGTTGAGGCTAACCTGGGAAAGGCGCAGTCGCGAGGTAAAACCTACTATGACAAAAACAGCCGCCTCCGAACGTTTAAGGTGGGTGACAAAGTCCTACTTTTGAGGTCTTCTAAGGCTCATAAGTTGGAATTGCAATGGGAAGGACCAGCAACGGTCCAGCAGAGGCTATCGGAGACAAATTACGTGGTAAAACTGCCAGGTCGCAGAAAAGAGGTCCGCATATACCATTGCAACCTCATGAAGCCGTACGTGGAAAGGGTGCAAGTAGTCAGCATTGCACTAAACCAACCAGAGGAAGTTCCTACACGAATTCCTGAGCTGGGAAAAACCGACGGGATCCTGACAATCGCCGAAGTCGTGGAGGCCGCAGTCGATAAGACGCTCACCCAAAACCAGTTTTCGGATCTTACGGCATTAATTGGCAAATACCAAAAATTGTTTTCAACTATTCCCGAAAAAACGAGTCTAGTCGAACATGACATCGAAGTGAGGACTCGGTCAAATATTCAGTGTAAGGCCTATCGCTTTTCCCCCCGCCAAGAAAAGCTATTAAAGGAGTCCGTAGATCAAATGCTAGAGCTAGGGTTGATTGAGCGGTGCGAGAGCGACTTCGTGTCTCCTATGATTCTGGTAGAGACTCCAGGAAAAGAACCTCGTCCCTGTGTGGACTACCGAAAGTTAAACGCGGTAACGGTAACAAAAGTCTACCCAATCCCTAATATCGAAACTTGCCTTGAGAAAGTAAGCAAAGCCAAGTTCATCTCAACCATCGACCTCGTTAGAGGTTACTGGCAAGTGCCACTTAACGCGAACGCCAGTAACCTTGCCACCTTCATGACCCCGTTTGGTGTTTTTAAGCCGCTTGTCCTGAGCTTTGGACTGAAAAACGCACCCTATGCGTTTTCGAGACTGATGAATCTGGTACTGGTCGGAACCGAGTCTTTTGCGTTGCCGTACCTAGACGACGTCGCTATATTTTCGGACACGTGGAGAGAGCACGTTTAGCACCTAGAACAGGTGTTCTCGCGCCTGCAAGACGCAGGACTTACAGTCAAGGCGAAAAAGTGTAAGTTTGGCCGAGGCGAAGTATCGTATCTCGGACACGTAGTCGGTCAAGGAATGAGACGTCCACAAGAACTCAAGGTTCAGGCCATTAAAGAGTTTCCCTTGCCACAAACAAAAAAAGATTTGATGTCCTTTATCGGACTGGTGAATTACTACCACCAGTACATTCCCCAGTTCTCTGAAAAGGCGAGTCCCCTGACGGATGCGCTCAAGAAAACTGAGCCCACTAAGATCAAATGGGACGATCGCAAGATACATGCGTTTGAGGCTCTTAAGTTAGCCTTGGCGACTCAGCCCGTATTAGTCAGCCCTGACTACACAAGACCCTTCTTAGTGCAGTGCGACGCCAGCGAAAAAGGACTCGGCGTCGTTCTAAGCCAAGAAAATGAAGGGGAAGAGCACCCCGTTTTGTTTGCCAGCAGGAAGCTAACTTCAAGGGAGCAAGCCTACAGTACCATCGAAAAAGAATGCGCTTGTCTCGTATGGGCTGTAGAAAAGCTTCGCTGCTATCTCTATGGCTCGGAGTTTATTTTAATTACAGATCATAGACCGCTCACATGGCTTCAGCAGCTGTCCCCCAAAAACGGTCGCTTGTTACGCTGGAGCTTGACCCTCCAGGAATATTCTTTCTTGGTTCGACATAAAAAAGGAAAGCTTCATGCGAACGCAGATTGTCTGAGCCGAGCGCTCTAACCGGCGCACAGTGCGATTTTCTGTTTCTTTTGTCTCATCTGCACATTTGTAAATAGTTCCATTCAATTTCATTCATTAGCTGTCTATTCCCGAAAGATCGGGAACGATATTTTCAAAACATTCTGGCTGCGTTTGGGGCATATTTTGTAAGCTATTTCTTTTGAATAATTCGTGCTCTCGGTGAGTGGAAAGGGCGTTTCGGGTGCCTCCGCAGTTTCTGTGGTGCTTGGTTGTTGTTGGCCCTTCTCATTCCCCTCAGAAGCACGACGGACCTCTGTTGTCATCCCGACGTCCTGGCACCGACGGCACGTGACAGCCGCTGCTACTCCTGGGCCGCTGGCGACTTCGGCTCATGGTCGCAAGGAACGCCATCACCGCTTCTTCCTGCTCCTCTCGGACCGCACAGTCGACGCTTCCGACCAGTCAAGGACACTGAAAACTGCAGTGACGGTGTTGGGCCGCGCGTCGACGCTTCCGGCCAGTTTCGCAGACGGTGTTGGGCCCTGCGTCTCCAGGACTTCCGCCCTTCGGATCAGCGCAAGCTGAACCTGTATTCGCTGCGAAGGTTTCTCCGAGCAACGACTGTGAAGTTCTGCGCAAGCAGCACTAGGATTACGCCGTTCGTCTGTCTGTCGAACATTCCCAAGGACGCGCTTGAAACCTGGAGAGTGGCGGGAAAATTGTTTTATGCGGTTTCGCCCTAAAAGGGGGAGGAGTTGTTACGTTGCAATGTTATCGCTTATCGCTGTCGCGGCCGCAGCAGAACTGCTGAGTCAGGGGGGCGTACCTCTGGTGCTTGCTGCCGATATAAGCGACATCGCCGGCAAGCTTTGCGCTCTTTTGGTTCCGGCTGCCGAACAATAAACGCTGCCAAATAAACGTCGGTCTCCGGATTCGTCGATTCTCCCGGAGAAACGTAACATCGGGTAGACACTGACTGTTCATGTACTTTTTAGTGATAATTTTATTGACTGTGGCGAACTACAGCCCCAAAGTGTTGTTCCAGATGCCTTTACTGCGCTTAGTTGTTTCATCTTAGAACTTTTATTAGATGTCTAGTCATGCCATTGATTTTTATGCCCTCTTTTTTGTGACAGTCACAATAAAACATTGTCATTTACTTTGAGAACTAGGCCGTATTCATCTATTATAAGGCCCACCCTTCAAGCATGTACTATCATACCCACAAAAGCGATAGTACCGTTTTTTAGGGGGCAAAAGTGATCCCATCAAGCCTGCATTTAACCTTTAATAGGGTGGTGAACTGGGCCAGTTGGTTGCTGTTATACATGATGGGGAAAGCTGTTCGGAAAGCGCGAACTACGAAGAACAAACACGACAGGACAGCACTGTCGTGCTGCGTTTGTTCTTCGTAATCTGCGTTTTCTGAGCTGTTTTCCTCATCGTGTACATTTAACCCCAAAATGGGTCATTCTTCCCTCCAAAAGAAGGTAAAATCTGCGCCCTCAATTATGTCGTCTTACCTCTCAAAAGGGTTGAAGTTCCCCCTTAAAGGATGCACTTTTAACACCAAAAGGAACTATGGTTACCTGCAAAAGGAGGCAATGTTGCACCCTAATCCAGGGGGTAAGTTTGCACCCGTGTTGCAAATGGTAACGTTACCTGCAAAAGGGGTTGCCCTGTGTGCAAGCCGGTTACTTCCTAAGTACCTTTTTTTTAAGAGTGTAGTTTCGAAACATTTTCTTTGCGAACAATTCATGTTTTGTCAGCACACAGAGCAGAGGGGTAGAAGGATATAAAAAGAGTAAAAAAGATTATGGTAATTACCTTTATAGAGTTATCAAATTTTGCCATGTTCAGACTCAAGACTTTTCAGTGAGTCATTCAGTGCAAGTTTGTTTTAAATAAAAGTTTACTTGAAGATCTCTGAAATCATAACTTGCCGTGGCGACCGCACATAAAAAAAAACTCTAGTTTAGAACGAATATTGCAATAGTGCAGCAATTCCTTGAGAGGACACCCTGGGTTGTTAGGCGGTGAAGAGTGCCCTAAAAGTATACCGAACAATCAGGCTTGTACAAGATACTCACTAAAAGTATATAAGTTAAGTTACTGAGTACCACGAGAAATAGTAACTCAGTAGAGTACTAAATACTCAAATGTTTAAAGTAATTCAGTA